AATTTTCTTGAATTTTTATTTTGTATTGGGTATATACTTTATTCATTCATTTTTTTTATTTTATTTTTATTGTTATATTACTTATAAATAACAATTTTCATTTTAAATTTTACGTCATTTATCGTATCTTTTATTTTTACCTATTTATAGAATATTTCCTATATATACAAACTAACATTTTTTATTAATAAATTTATTTTTTTTTAAAAATATAACTTGATGTAAGTGCAAAATGTAACTTCACTTGATTGAAATTAAATTTCAAAACGTTCATATTTAGGATATAACAGTTTTAATGATAGATCCATCATGTTATTATATGACTAAACATTATTTTACGTTACGTTGAACATTAAGAAAATATTTCACGATTTATTTTATGTTAAAAATGAAAGTTTTAAAATGATACTAAATAATAAATTTTATAGAAAATTATCATCCTATTTGTTATGTGATTTTATTATGTGAAATATATTTATCCAAAAAATTCGTTCTACATGAAAGGCATTAGATAATGATTTTCAAAATTTTATTAATGCATTTTATATTTGTCAATATTGATGATATTTTTCAATAACCTTTTGACAAACTTATACATGATTACTCTAAAACTAAAAGTTATTTTGAACGTCTTTATAAAATGCAAACATATTGAGTTCATTGTTTTATAAAATACCAGATGGAATGATAGCCTACTCTAGGGTAGAATTTATAAATGCTTGTTTAAAGCGTTTGTTTAACAATTTTAATATATTACTGTTATGTGATCTTATAATATTTAAAGACCTCTTAATTAACAAGAAAAAGGAAAGAATATGAATTCTGTCACTTATCGATTTCCAATATATGAAAATAAAATATGAATATTTTATTTATAATGATTGATCAATGCTTGTCTTTGTATTACTGTATATACCAATACTATTAGAGACCAAATTATCGGTAAGAAATTATCTCTAATAGAATTTAAGATTTTCTTTATATCGATTAGAAAAATCCAAGGGTTGTTGTTGCTGCTGTTCACTTTGTCTTAAGCCATAAATTTTTAAGTTTAAATATTAAACTATAATTGAATGTGAAATCATTTCACAAGCAACTTTATAAAATTTTTGATCATTAGGATGTTGAAAATAAAATTCAAAAAGATAATTTGAGCAAAGAGGATTATTAGATGAGTATAAGTTATTAATTAACAATTGAGATATGAGTTCATTAAAGGTTATCTCTTTATAAGTAATGAGATAAATTTGAACATCGTTGTTTGGCCTGTAATAGAATAAACATTCAGGTTCTTGAGAAGGGAATTGAGGGTTTTGAGTATGTTGTAAAGATTGATTATCATTAATAACTAACATGCTATTTGAAGGAGAAGTGGACGAATGAGAAATATTCCCATTAGAAGTTGCAGTGAATTCATTACTGTCTTGAGGATTGTACAAAGTAGACATTAAATAAAATGCTAAAATTTAACAATCTATGATGTTTGTAACTATATATATATGCGTATGTATACAATCAAGAATATTAGCAAGAATAAAAAAAGTATTATATTATTCTATTGCTTATCGAGTAGTTAAAGTGAATTTTTTAATATCGTTTTTTTTTTAAAAAAAAAAAAGTAAAAAAAATTCAGTTTATTTTTATCATTTATACACATTACATAATTTTTTTACGAAGTTGAGATAATTTTTTTTTAATGTGTAAATGTGTAAAATATATGTATTATATTTGTTTATCCAAACTTTCAAATTCAGTTTGATATGCAAAAAACTGTTTATAGCCAATTTTCATAAAATAAGATTAATTAGAAAAATAACATAAACACTTTCTCTTTTAAAAAAATTCTTTAATTTTTAATTTCAGGATTGTAAACTTTATTTACAATATAATTATTAGACATTTCCTCAAATTCAAAATCATTTATATAAATATTATTATCTAAATTTAAAGTATTATTATCAATGTTACTTTTTCATTATCATTATTATCCAATATAATACTGAGCTTATTTTCATCATCAGAGTTTGAATATTCAGTAAAAAAGGTATTATTTAGTTCTTTTTAAGCAGCTAAAACTGTATCATCATTATTGAAACTAATACCATAATCTATATTTTATTAAAATGTAATTTTATGATATTTACAAAATTTATAGTAATAATACAATAACAAAAAAATTAATTTGCAGACTTTTTTATTAAATATATCATAAAAAAAAGATTACCCTATAATGACAAGATTGATAAGTATATTATTATCATAAAATCTTAAAAATTACGTGACTATTTGAACCTCACCTTTTGCTATGAATTCACTCATATTATAGTATATTTAATAATAATATTTTTAAACTTTTAAAGTTTATAATTATTAATATATATTAATTTTCAAGTTTTTAATTTTTAAAAATAATTTATTATTTAATAATTACAAAATATAAAATTTAGTTTATTAAATTCATCACATTAAAATTTATTAAATTATAGTATTTTAAAATTTTTAAGATTAATAGATAGTAAGATATATAAGTTTAAAATTTTAATTTTTTTTTAATAATAATTTATTATTTATTTATCTTTAAAAAATCACTAGTTAATTACATTTTTTTTTAATTTTTACTTAAAAAATATCATAAAATTTATTATAAAAGTATTAATTTTTTAATAATATATTTTAAATATTTAAAAATAATTAAAATAATAAATAAATTGCCTATAAATTTATAGGTAAAACAGTTGAAGAGATAATATTAATAATAATAAAGTATTTTATGTATTTTTAAAATTAATTATACTTAATAAAAATTTATTAATCAAAAGTTATATTCCTGAGATTTATATTTATAATTCTATTAATATTAATTCTAATTCTATTTTAAATGTTAAAAAGGTTCTTTTACATATAAAAGTAATATTAGAAATTAAGAATAAAATTTGCATGTAGATTATTATTACTTATGATATTATTAAATACTATTATATTACTAAAATAAAAAATGTTGCTCTAATTAATCTTTATATTAAGATAATTAAGATAATTACATAAAAAAATGTATATATTTTGAACATATATAGAAGTAAATTTGTAAATAAAATTATTTTAAGTAAGAATAAAGTTTTTTAAATAAAAACTTTATTTAGCTTATTGATTTATAAGTTTGAAATTGTAATCTGAATAATAAAAAAAAAGTTTTGATATTATTATTTAAAAAATATTTTTTTTTAAAGTAAATCAAAATAATAATTTTAAAGATAATTATATAATAAATTATTATAAAAAAGTGTTAAAATTTTAAACGTATATATCTTATTATCTATTAATTATAACAATAAAAAATATTACTAATTAATAATTCTTAATTAAATAAATTTTAAACTAAATTTTATTTTTTTTATAATTATTAAATAATAAGATATTTTTAAAAATTAATATATTAATAATTAATAAGTTTAAAAATTTTAAAATGCATCTTAATTTAATAAATATATTAAATTTTATTTCATCTTTTTATAATCTTTAGATATTAAAATATTATAATTTTTATATAATATTTTATAAATAATTTATATTTATTATTTAAGTGATAATATATTTATTATATTAAATATTTTATATATATTAATTAAAAAATCTTATTTTAAAAAATTAAAATTTTAAACATATTATTTTATATATTAAATTTTTATTTATATTAAATTAATAATAATTTATAATTTATATTTATTATTAAATATTTTAATATAATCAAAGTTTGATATAATATATTGAATAATTTTTAATAATAAAGTTATAAATATATATATATTAAAATTTTATTATTTATATAATAATATATTATAAAACTTATTTTTTATAAATATATTAATATTTATTTTAAATATAAAATAATATAAAATAAAATATATATATATATAATAATTAAAATAAAATAAAATAAAGTATTTTCTAATTTATTTATTTTAAAATAATTTATTATTACTATTTTATTACAGATTTAAAATTACTTAATTTTAAAATAATTTTTAAACAAAAAAATCAATTATTTATATAGTTTATAAAGGTAAATATTATATTCATTAAATATTTAAATATATAATTTTAAAAATATTAAAAAGTAAAAAAAAAATAATCTATTATTATAAATTTTAATAATTTAAATATATTTGAAAATTCTTATATATTTAATTTTTATTATTTATTATTAAATGAAACCTATTATAAGCAAATACAATTTAATATGTATTAGATAAATTTAATCATATAATTTTATTGTTTAAATCATTATATAAAAAGTTTTTATTATATAATATAGATTTTTATTCATTAATTTAAACTTTTGATTTATTTATCTTTTGTAAAAATTATTAAAAATATTAAAATTTATTAAAAAGAATTAAAATTAAAATTAAACTTAAATATAAAATGCAATAAATTACAAAAAAGGTATCAAATTCTTAAATAAAATTATAAAATTATTAATTTTATTTTTGAATGTAAATAAATACTTTCTTGAACTTATATATAAGAAAAGAAATAATATAAATAAATTATAAAAAAAATCTTCAAATTTTTCATTAATTATAGAATTAAAAAATATAAAATAATATCTAATTTTAATATATATGTAAAATAGGTATTCTTAATTTTTCAAAATACTATTTTTACAAATAGAAAAGTTTACTTTAAATTTTTTATAAATATATAAATTTATTATAATCACAAAGACAAAATAAATTTTAAAATACTAAATTATTTACTTAGAATCTAAACCGATAAGGTTACTACAAATTTATTAATAATTGCGGATTTACAATAAGAAATTCTAATTTAAAATTGACAGAAGACTTTGGTAGGGTAAACTTGGCGGAATCAGAAATAATGATGATAATAATAATCATAATAATAATATTTTTTAAAAGCTGTATCGTCTCGTGGTTCTATTTTTAATACACTGTACTTTATATAAATGCTGCAATATTTGTTGCAAGATAGTTCTTGAGAATATCGATTATAGATGCTGAACCACTTGTTTTACATCTACATACATTTAACAATAATTACAAATGTCAAAAATTTGGAGAAGTTTTATAAATTGCCCAAAACTATAAGAGTTAGCTATCTGTAAATAATCGGGAACTTTTTACGGTTTGGAAACAAACTATGCATCATAAATAAACCATGTTAACGAATGAAACAACATTTATTACCACCTTTGGGATTCGACATTGATAACAATACATTGTATTCTATAATACGTATTGAAGATACATCTCTCCATGTCCAAATTTAGTCATGTGCAAAGACCAAAACTTCAGAACAATAAAAAAAAAAAATTCCAAAATTCATAATTCTCATAAATTGAAACAATACATTCATAAAAAATTAATAAATATATAAAGATCATGTCGTCTATCCATTTCAAAAATAAAAAAAAAAAGTTTTTTTTTTTTTTTTTTCACTAAAATGTCAGGAAGTAAAGCAAACCTGAATACGATTTTAGATCAAAGTTATCGAGAATGTCATGATATCATCTTGAATTCTTTAAAAAATGATTTGCAAACGTTATATTCATGCATCCGCGTGAGTAGATCATTTTGCCGAACCTTCATTCCGATTCTTTGGATGAATCCTTTTAAATTCGTCAAAGATGAAGATAGGTTGGTTCAAATATTTAACACCCTAATTCATTGTCTTGATCAAACCTGGTTGGTCAGGCAATCGATTGAAATAGAACAACTTCTCACACCCAAGGCGTATTTTAAGTATCACACCTTTATCAAAGAGTTTGAATTGAATACTTTGCAAAAAGCAATGAGGATTTGGATTTCAATTCATTTATCAAATAGGAATGATCTATTTCGAATGTCAAGTGAAAGAAGTAGGGTTAGTAAGTTGGTATTTATGATTAACAAGTGTATTGGTGATTTATTTTTTAATAAGGGGGGTCAATATGACTCCCTGAACCTATTTTACAATGATTTTTTAAGTGCCATACTTGATATTAGCGAGTTTAAGAATCATAAGGAAAGTTTGGCCAATGTAAAGAAATTATCATTGGGATTGTTCAATAGCAACGGTATGGAATTAATCACGCCCATCGCAGAAAATTTTTTAAAACTTCAAACCGCTTTTTCACCAAACATCCAACACTTGCAAATTCTTAGTATTAATAATTCGATAAGACCAAATGAATTTTCTAGAAATTTGATTGATTTCATTCATACTCAACGTCACCTGAAATCATTATTAATTCATGACTTTTGGAAAGATGAATTTGAACCTTTCCTTAAAGCCCTACGAAAACATGCAAAATCCTTAACTTTTTTTAAATTAGAATGTCCAATTTTGTTCACGACACATCTATCGTCCATGTTAAGATCTTTACCAAATCTAATTACCCTCGAACTAAAGTTTACTCCCATTCCAGATGGAGATGCTTCACGAGAAATTTCAGCGGCTTCTTTTAGTAACCTAGAACATCTCAATTATGATTGTTGTCTCTCATATCATTCAACAAATCACATTACACTCTTTAAAAAGATCCTTTTGTCGGCAAACCATTTGAAATCCCTCAGGGTTGATGACACTTATTGCCTTTTTATCAAAGAAATTCAGGGACAATGTTTTTTGAATTTAACTCATTTTCATTTAATTCTGCACCGTAGTTGTGCCATCATGGATTCAATGTCGTTGGTGGATTTAATGGAGTTATTAAGGAACTTGCATCAACTGATTCATCTGAAATTAAATACCGTTTTAAATCGGTATCGTTTATTAAATCGAATCGAGTCATTTAAAAGATTCTCTCAAGTACTTGCTTGCTCTCTAAAAATTCTCGAAGTTAATTTTCCCGTCTCTGATGAGTACTTGGAAGTTCTGTTCAATGAATCCAAATTTAACCTTCATTGCATTAAGTTGTATTGTTATGAACGGACTCAAGATATTTCATTAAGAGTATTTATCGATTATGCAAAAAGAAACGAGAGATTTAAAGAACTCGGTATCACTAAAGAATTCAAGTTTTCAAAAGAGCTCATTGAAGAGGCACGAAATCGCTTTAACATTTTGATACACACCAATAGTGAAATCAATAGTCCATTTTATGGTAAGTTATCATCTCATCTTAAAGTTAGTTTGTATAGATATTAATCCGTAACCTTTTGTTCTTTAAAGATGTACCAATTAAAGATTCCTATTGGTGTAACAGAAGATAGACTTTTGACTTTAATTAGTTTGGCAATATTTTATATTATTAATTTTTATAATTTTTTTTTTTTTTAAAAAAAAAAAATAAATCAATGTATGTAACCTTTTTTGTATTATTAATAATAAACCATTCCGAGTTCTTGTCTATGCGTCGCTATATTGGTCTAAACCGATATAGCCATTCCCAATAAATTTGTTATCATTCAGTTTGATAAAAAGATCTGACAAATGATAAAATATTTAGATGTTGAAACAATTTCTATAATTTTATAATGGGATTTCATTTATGAAACTTCTTTTGCCTTATCAAAATGAAATGCCAAATAAGTAGATTTTTTAGAATTGTAATTGGGTATAAGCTAATAGAAATAGAACATTTTTATACTATCAATATTAGAATAGGGTTTCTGTTTGAAGTTCAAATCGAGTTTACAAATGCGTATGTAAATCATAAATCATTTTCGAAGATTAGAAAATCGGGATTTGTAAGAATTTCCTTTTTTTTTTTAGCAAATTTTTTTATGAACGAATCTTTCTCCAAGGTAAGAAAGGTTCTTTCATAGAAAAAAAAAAAAATTTATTTATTTGTAACCATCTGCAAATTAACAAAAAGAATCGGATATTTGAATAAATTTAATAATTTATTTTTTCTATTCTATTCACAAATGGAAGCTCAAAATCACCAACTTTTTACACGTGCCCATCTCGAGAATTTCATGCGACGTCAGATCTACTTGAAGTGATCTACGCTCGAAAGAAAAATCGTAATTTCCAAACTAGGAAATTCATTAACGTGACAGCCCATGATATGATTCTAAAGCAATTCGCATTCTTTCTCATTACATCTTTGAAAATATCGTTCATTATATAATTATTAAGTGACGAACCAAATGAGGAAGTTCCGAAAATCAGCAAATTTTGATATTTTATTTTGATCAAAGTAAAGTGGTCGACGCAAACGTTTGATAACTTCAATTGATTTTAAAATTTAAATTGATTTCTTTATGGTTTTGAGTAACAATTTTCTCACAAGCATTTGATAAAGCAATTCTTCTCTAAATTTAAATGTAAATTTTTGTTATCGAGTTATAGGAAGAAGAAAACAACTCCCGAAAAGTTCATATTTGATTTTTTTTAAAAAAAAAAAGGTCTGATGATAAAAAATTTGTCATTGTTTTCGTCAATATTAATAAAGAATTAATACGAAAAAATTTATTATTTAAAAGTTGTGGACGATCGTGTATAAAAAAAAATTAAGAAAAAGAAAAGGCGAATTTTAGACTAGCTAAATCATCACCTTTTTTTTTTTAAACTATAGGATATCTCGTGTTAATAAACAATTTTTTTTCTTCTGTTGTAAATATATTCAGAATAAGAATTTCAAATAAGTTTAATTAGGATCTTCATACAAAATTACCCCAAAAACGGTTAATATGAGCAACTAGTTGTGACACAAGAAAGAGGAGTGGTAAATCTATTTAAATATAAAGAGAAAAAAAGAAAAAAAGTCTTTTTTTTTTTTCTTTCAAAATTTGATGGAAGTCTCACTAGAATTTAGATTCACATTCTTTTTATAATCTGATATTTTGAACGTTTTTCTTTTCCTGTTGTTTTTTTTTTGGAAATTATGATTATAATAGCATAATAACCTTTGAAAGGAAATTATATCTTAAAAAAAAAATTTTAACCACGTCCTTAAAAACTTTTTTTTTTTCTTTCTTATATAGACAAAAAAAATTTATTTCATTTTTTATTTTCATTTATAAATTATAATCATGTTTTCATCAAATTCTCATCGTCGAAGTATTCGTGACAGGGAAACTTTGCGTAATGATCCTTTAAACCTACTTCGTATATTAAAACGTCAAGACGTAACCGATGAAACAGGAAAAGATGAAACAAGAGGAATATCAGAAACAATATCTTCACACAATCCGTCCATACCAGAGTTCAAATTTATAACCCAGGAAACCACAGAAAATTCTTCAAGTGATTCAAGTGGAAGTGTAAAAAATGGGGATATAATACGTCAAGGTTTAATTGGTTTTGGAATAGTACTTACGGGAATAATCGCAATCACAATGATTATTGGTGTAATAGCATACATTTATCGCGAAAGGTTAATTCGTAAACGACGATCACAAATAAATTCCCAATCCCAAAAGGTTAGAATAATTCAACGCAAAAATTCTAATCGTTATAGAAGTATCATTAACCTTTACACGGATAATTTTAAAAATTTTAATGGGAATGAAAATGAACTTGAAACAAGCGACATGACTAATACTGATAATAGTAAAAGAATGATTACCAGTAACATTCCTTCCAAAGTTATTAGAAATAAAAGCCTTGATTTTAGTGATATGCCAAATACTCCGGAAAAATCGATGAAATCCCCAAAAATAGAATCACCCGTTACAAATATTGTTCATCCAATATCATCCCCAATCGCATTTCCCTCTGCTAGTATATTTAGTAATGAAAGAGCAAGTTCTTTGGCAGATAATATAGCCAAATCAAATGTTTTTCAAGCGACAAGACCTGCCCCTCCGATTCCAGTCAAAACGAAGCAACAAAAGAACGTTCAAAGGACGTTTCAAATACATTCAAATAAAACCTTTGCTCAAAGTCCGGAAGCCGATTTAATTCATCAAATGCCCACCTCTTCCCCATACTACATAAAAGGTGTACCCCCGGAAGATAGTCAATATACTAATACAAAGTCAAATCATCTTCAAGTACCATCAAACATGACTTTGGTAGATTCACGTCAAGATTATTATGTTCGAACCTCACCTCCATCCCAAACTTCCTTAATTCGTTCTTTCCCTTCTCCCCCTCCTTCTCTTCCTTCTAGATATTCTGATAGCAAAGATATTTATGATGATTATTATCCATCTACGGAAAGTGCAAAAAGTTCCACTTATATTTTGGATGGTCCAACTAATCTGTCTGAAGTTCGTATTACCACAGAACATTTAGGTATAAATTTTGATAATTTTTTTTCACGTCAATAAGATGTTGATAACACTGTTTCAACAATTAAATAATTGTTTTGAATCTCACAAGAATAGTAAACAATCAACGCCAGACGAGGATTTGAATAATGTGACTACCCTTAAGGATTTTGATGAAAAAAGGTAGCTCGAATGATAATAATACGATTCCTTAAAATTTTACAGGGTGACGGACGGGTATTGCCTTTTTTTTTTTTTATTAATAAACATTCGATATAATTTTTTAATTTAATTTCATGTATAAAATATAAAATTTGTATTTCCAATTACAGTAATTTCTTAAATAGCTAATTAAACCAATTAAAATAAATTAATCGTTAACCTTATAATTGTGATTTATCAATTGTAATTTGTCGATTCGTTTTTACCTTCAAGAATTTTTTGTTGAAATTTTATGTCAACCAAATTATGTAAATTTTGTGCTTTTTAGATATCTGTTGCGTCCCATAAAATCGTTTTGTGACTTTGTCTTTAAATTTTTCTCGAGTTGCGATTTTCATTTTAATTTGTATGATCCGTTGTGTGGATAAATTAAACATTACAAGATCCAACTCGATGTTATGAACTTATTTGATGAGTCATATGGTTATGGGTCATTAAAATATTAATAATACGGACAGGTCTACTCGACCTTTTTGGGACACTACATCTATCTTATTTCTGTGTTATATTATTATTTTCGATTTAACTAAAAGGAAGTGTGTTGCTTCTCATTATATAAATGGGAAGTTTTCTATTTAAAATTACGTTACAGTAGGAGACAAATGAAATCAAAGTCCCATAGGAAATTTATTATTGATATAGCAGACTTTATTATCTTACGCATTTTCAAACATAATACTTACTGGCACTGCTCATTAGAAAAAATTTCTTCTTTGGGATTATCAACAAAAGTGAGATGTCTCATTATTATTATTTAATATAATTTAACTTTAATTTGTTTGAATTGCAAATTTAGAAAAAATTCAAAATAAAAAATTTGTGCGTTAGCTTTTTACAGCTAATTTCATAAGTCACGGGACAGCAGATAATAACCGAGACGTTTCCGAGAAAATTTATAAGGATTTGAAAAGACAACCACATTTTATATGGGAAAAAAATTATATCGCTATATTCGGAAAACTGATCTAAACGTAACGATAATGTTTTCATCAAAAATTCTATACCGAGTTTTACCGAGTTTTTTTATCGATCTGCAAAATGAAATTATCTGTAATGGATTTTCTTTTAATTAGTCCCATCAACTATGTCGATAATCGGGGTCAGTATTATATCACTACCACCAAAAAAATAAAGTAGAAAATCAGAAATGATCACTATCACCTATACTTGTTACCCATACTATATGGGTATGGGATAAAGTCCCAATCCCATCCCATTCCTTAAACTAAAACTTCAAACAATATCATCATAATTAATGATTAAAATTTAATGATATTTAGTTCATTAGCTTCGTATTTATGAGCTGAGTAAATGCTTAATATTTTATTTTTGTAAGTGAGATATATTGATTAAGATATACTGGGGGTTTTGGCTGTGCTTAGGAGGCGGTAATTTGACAGCCATGTGACTTTCCCGAGTTTAATTCTGCAACTAATAGAGGCGGTAATTTGACAGCCTTGTGACTTTCCCGAGTTTAATTCTGTAACTAACATATGCCATATAAGGTTATCCGGTTGTTCCCACGCAAAAATCGAGTATCAAACAAATAAATATTATACACAAATTCTTAATCTATTGTAACGTTAGACAGACTTTGGGATATAGTATGAGGTATGGGCAACAACTATACTATCACCTTTTCTAGAATTTTACGCTATATAATCAACGAATCGCTTAAAAAGGAGATAATATGCAACTTTCATGTGGTTTATAAACACCTTTTATACAATCACATATCGTGTGATTATATAGAGTTGTAAACATACGTTCAATATCGCATTTAATATCTTTAAATTGTATGAAATTCTGTATTTGGACTTAATTTGCATATTATTAACGCCTACTTGCATTAATAAATGGTGGGTTTAACTTTAGATTCCTTCTTTTTCATTTTAATTTCATCAACTGCTCTTCACGACGCCAAATTCATTGTCTAAACAAGGTAGCAAAATGACTGATGAAGCTAATAACAAAACTTTGTTAGAAAATGAAATATGGTTACAAGGAGCTATTGACAATGAGCATATTATATATCAAAGATATTCAACTTTTGAAAATATAGAAAGAATCGGACACGGAACGATGGGAGAGGTGTATAAGGCAACATCAAGTAGGTTCCAAAAGTCTGTAGCATTAAAAAAATTTAAAATTTCTTCAAAGTTTACTATAAATGAAATTATAAATGAGGTAAATTTCTATATATTAATTGATTACAACGAAAATTTTCCCTCTAATGTTTGCTTTAAAAATATTTTAGATAAAGCTACATAGAAAAGTAGACTTACATGATAATATTTTGAGATTTCATGGTGTTACTACGTTAGGTAAGGATTTATATACTTAGGTATTACCCTAAAAGATATTCGAATCGTTTGATTTTGCTGTTGGGACAGTTACTCTGTTCCATGTCGGTTTACAGCTAATTTCAAAAGTCACGGAATATCCGAGACTTTTCCGAGAACATTTTATATGAGTAAAAAAACCGCGATATTCGGAAAACTGAACCGGAATCGGTTTCAAACAGTTAAATTTTGACTTTTTTTTTTATATTATTTTATTGTTACAAACAATAAGAGAAAAAAGTCAATTTGAAATGCTCCTGAACGTTAGCGATTATGTTTTTCAAAAAAATTTCTATACCGGCAAAATGATCGTCCGTCCCGTGACTTTTGAAATTTGCTTAGGAGGGGTCGATCCGATTTTGAGCCGGTCCGGAGCATCTATTCTCTATTCTGCTGCGCCACACCATCTAACGTCTACATTAATTAAAATCCTATATACATATACGGCATATAGAACATCCTCCGAGCTTAAAAGAAAATCAACTTATGCTAATTATGGAATATGCAGATGGTGGAACTTTAAGACAATACTTATCTCGAAATTTTGAAGAAATGGATTGGAACATTAAACTTGATTTTGCCAAACAAATTGCGAGCGCAGTTGAATGTTTACACGTTCATGAAATTGTACACCGAGATTTAGTACGTATACCTATCATATTTTAAAATTTATTTTAATTTTCAATTTAAAAATATTTATTTTGTTATTTAGCACTCGGAAAATATATTTATTCATAAGAATAAAGTGAAAATTGGTGACTTTGGCATATCAAAATGCATTTGTGAGAAAACGAGTCAACTATTAAAAGGGTTTGGTTCTATAAAATATACCGATCCTGAATATTTAAATGATCAAAAATATGAAAGAAACAAAAAATCTGACATCTACAGTTTAGGAATGTTATTTTGGGAAATTTCAAGTGGACGAATTCCATTCGAATTAGATCCATCTGATTATGGTTTGGCCGTTAAAATAATTCGTGGTACAAGAGAAACGAATATTAGAGGAACGCCACTTAAATATGTTGATATTTATACAGGTATTTTTAATTTTAAAATATTTTGTTTTAAATTTATTTCTTATTTTTCTAATCAAGATTGTTTATAATATTTTGATACATCAGCTTGTTGGAATAAAGATATTAACTGTCGACCAACAATAAGTCAAGTTGTTAAAGACCTTAATGATATAAAAATGAATGAGTTTAATGAGTTTAGCATCGTAAATGCAAGTCAAGAACATATAAATTTAAATCAGCCATTTGATTCAGATATTGAAAAGAATGAACAAAAAGAATTTGAATGGTTTTTGAAATCCGCAGAAAGCGAAAATATTGATAGTCAATATGAGGTTGCTATTTGCTTTAGGGATGGCAAAGGCACCAAAAAAAATATTAATGAAGCTATCAAATGGTTTCAAAAATCTTTGGATAATGGAAATAATGCAGCGCGCAAGCCTTTACGCAATTTAAAAAGGAAAAAGAAATTTAATTTTTGCAAAATTAATTAAGCATATTTATCACTATCGTGTGATTATAAGTTTAAGCATTAAGCAATCTCAATATTTGGGTCGTTTGCTATTAAATCAAACAAGGAACAGATATTAATAGCAAATCATTTATCATCAAAAAATAATTTATTCATCAATCTAGGAGTCAATAGAAAAATGGGAAATCTAAATTTTTTATTTTTCATTGGTCCACTTGACCATGAACCAAAATTTCAGATTTCCCCTTGCAAATACGTTTTTTAAATAAATAAAGTAATCTAATAAATTAAAATAAAAAAAAAAAAAGTGATTACGTAATGAAATGTTTTTTTCAAATTATAATTTTAAAAAAAATAGTTTAACGAGAATTTATTAAGTTCAATTCTGAATGTATTGTATATATTACGGCATTGGAAATGCGAAAAAATTTAACAATAAAAGTTAACGTTCGAGAGTACTGATAAATCGATTTTAAAAGTAATTCTCATTTGTAATATTATTCATTCATGGATTGCTTAATAAAAAATAGATGTGATGACGCCACTATATAAATCCCGCGATAAATGAATCGGTCCTTCAGCTTCAGAAAAACCTGAGCATGCACATCCATTTTCCTTGCTCACACAAGTTTTTTTCTACTTAATTCGAATTTATGAAGGTTATACAATGTCATTTAAGATACATAGCAAAACAAAACATATAATTAAAAGAGCACACAAAATCACTTACTAATTTGAATTATAATGGCTGCACATTTTATTTGATACGATCGGTATTCAACACCCACTGTATGAATCATTTCTGAGACTCGACGTTAAATTCATTTGTGTTAATGTAAAGATGTATATATATATTACTATAGAATGATGAAAATAAATATTTCTTGCGATGCTATATTTTCCGCAGTTCAATAGTCTGCTCGAGTTATTAATATGATAGCTTTAATCGTGCCTTTCAGTGTTTAAGGATTTTCTTTTTAAAATCAATTTATTTTTTATAAAATAATTTATACATGATTATTTTTTTTTTTTTTTTTTGCCAAAGATTATTCGTTCTAAAATAATAATAATACTAATGATAATAATTCTAAACAATTAAATATATGAATATTAATTTTTTTTCCCCTTTTGGTACAAATGTATATATATGTATGTTTTTGTTTTAAAAAAAATAATAATAATTAATAATAATTAACGATGAGAAAACTTCATTAAATTAAATTTTTTGGTGCGGGTAAATTTGTAAAACTTAAAAATTTAGTTTGATAAATAGCATCAGGATGTGAGATGATGACAGGTTTCTCAATATTCATTTTCATTTGACGATCATTTTCGGCTTCTTCAAATTCTGTAGAATCTCTTTCACCTAAATACCAACGTTTAATTATATCTCTTAATTCTCTTGTAAAGGGGCGTTGGTATGGATCAGCGTCCCAACATCTTTTCATTAAATCAACATAACATTTTGGGGTAAAATTATCGACTTCATTAATACATGGTCTTAATCCTTCGCAGATTTGACTTGCCAATACTTCGTCATGAGCTCTATCAGAGAAAGGCTTTTCACATGTCGCCAATTCCCACATAATTAAACCGAAGCTATAAATATCAGCATATTTGGTATAATGATCTCCTCGTAATAATTCTGGTGCTACGTAAGGTAAGACACCGTAGACGCCTGAAATTGTGTAATCTGAAGTAGGGATCTCTGCCGGACAACACATCCCAAGGTCCGAAATGAAGGTGGTCGTATGATTTTTTAGAATATTGCCGGAATGAAGTTTTCTGTGAAATGAACCTTCCAAATGAATTTTATTTAAACCTTCAATTATTTCCAAGAGCGTTTCCAATCTTGATTTCCACGTTAAACTCTTGTTGTTACGTTTAAGGTAATTATGTAAGTCCCCTTCCGCTGCATACTCTGAAATTAACATATAATCTCCCGACGTTGGATCTTTTGTGATTCCATAACACCTTGGAATATTCTTCTCTTCTAAAAATTGTATATGTATCTGAACCTATATATTTATATTTTTTTTTTAAAAAAAAAAACAAAAAAAAAAAAAGATGTCGAGAATTTTAGTTTTTATCCTATACAAAATTTTTTTTAAAAAAAAAAAAACAGAATTTCCCTTACCTCTCGTATTAATGTGGTAACGTCCTTGTCAGAATTAAATAACCTTTTCAACGCAACTTGCTTTTCTCCTTCTCTGAAATATTGATTTGATTCTTGATCCCATCCCCAATTAGGACCATTTGACCATGTAGCTGAAAAGACGACGCCAAATACACCTTCTCCAATGACTTGAACATCCTTAAATTGTTCAAAAGGAATCCATTCCAAAAAATTTGAAGGAAAAGAAACGAATTCATGCTTAGCCCGAACTTCACGAGATTTTGCTTCACTATCCCTTGACGAAGACGACCTTCCGGAATGATTTCTATGACGGCGAACAAATTGTGGTACGGAAACTTCCCCATAAATTTGATCCGACTCTTGTTTAATCTGAGTGGCACGAATGCACTCATCTAATAATTTATTATTAGATGTCCATTCATCTTTTTGTAACCAATGTCCGATACAAAATTTTTGTAAAGGTATTTCAAGATTTGGATAACATTTTGGACAAACACTCTTACTACCACTTTCAACGCAAGTTAGGCAAAAATTTTCACTTAAATTTCTTTCATTACATTTCTCACATATACTTCTACTCGTTGGTACACCATGCTCTTTCCATTCGTTATATAAAGAATAAATTATTAAAAATGAAATTGGTCGATTATTTTTTGCTCCCCTAAAGTCCTTATGATGTCTAGATTTCCACCATTTACGAAAGTCTTCGGCATCAAAATCATCATTAACGTAAGTTGCTTGTGAATAAACGTTTAAAAGTGTGTTTAAATCTATAGCTCTCTCTCGTATCTCTTGTGTACGAGCCGACGATGACATATAATATGGTGCATGAAAAAATTCTGTTAATAATAAATCCAATGCTGCTTGATTATCCATTAATCCTGCCATTTATTTCTATTTACAAAAAAAAATTCTATTGTAAAATGCGAAAGTAAAAATAGATAAAAATAATTTTTTTTTTTTTTTTAAAAAAATGTGAAAAAAAAAAAAAAAAATGTGAAACAAAAGGAGGAATTTATATTTTTTAAATCATAAATGGTAAAAAAAAAAAAAAAACAAAAAACCTGAATTCGGGCGAGTACAAAAATTGTCTAGGTTTAACTTCACATAAATGAAATTCAAAAGAACTTCCTGAAGTAGTACTGAATAACACCGATTTTATAATTCCTGCGGAATTAATGATCTTCCAATGAAACCTTCTAAATTTAGATTAATTTTAATTTCTCTTGTGTTTCATAATTTTAAATCATCGTCCAGTTATAACCAGTGTTTAAAATGTTGTAATACCATGTACAAAAAAAAATATTAACTTCCTTACTTATAGTACAAACAATGGAAATTATGCCAATAGAAAAATGGAAACTGTTGTGCATTATGTTATTTTTCATGTGATTCAAGTTCCCCTACGTTATTATTGCTACATTTTAGGATAAAATACAAAAAGTTGGCAAAAAGTTCAAATTACTGATTTAAGCTTTATTACAAGAATGCATTCATTAGTTTGTAAATTAATAAAACAAGGTAATAAAATTATCCATAGAATTCGTGCTTTGAAGTTAGATAATAAATCGTAGTTATATGAATTTGAAATACGAATTTTTAAATATTGTGGGCCTTTTAAATTTATTTTTAATTGATTTCTTATATTTGTAATTGTTAAAATACTTAATTAAGATAAAGGAAACAATTGCTCCGAACATCACATTTATGGAAAAATGGAAAATAAAATAACTTAAAATGTCTTTATTAACCATCATTTCGGGTTAAAGTCGGCTTACTATATCTAACCAAATAAATTATTTGTAAACCTAATGTAGATATCATAAATACCATGTCTGCCAATTCGAAAAATGATTCGTACCTATCATGCTTTTCAAAAATTATCTGCCCAATAAGGGATGATTTCTGAATATTATAAAGTTCGAAATCTTTTATGAGTGTGTAAAGTACATAATAATAATTTTTTAAATTTATATGTTTAACATATAATAAAAATCAGATAATATTGATTTAGTCAATGATTTATATCCTAATTAAAAAAGTCCAAATAAGTCTATATACATAATATTATAATTTTTTATTTTATAAATTACAAATGCCAATTTTAATATTAAAATCTTTAACCATATTTTTATATATTAAAAATTTAAGCCTAATTACATTTACCATATTTTCAGATTAAATTTTTTTGAATTTCTACATTTTTATATTAATTATTACTAATATACTTTAATATAAAATAATGAATAAATAAAATCCTTTAATATTTAAATAATTAATTTATAAATTAATAAATTAAATACTATTTTAATTATAAAAAATTATTTATTATTATTAAATTATAAGATAATGATTATTATAAATTATAAAAATATTTGATATATATATATAATCTATTATAATTAATTTAATATAATAATTATTAAAATTTCTTAATATTAAATTGATTTTTATTTTAATAAATAATTCAAATATATACTTATTAATTTTTTTAATATTTTTCATTAGATTTTAATAATTTATATTTGTTTAAACTTCATATATAAATAAATATAGATTTATTTTTATAAAATAATAATATTTCTTCAATAATAAAAAATTGTAAACAAATTTATTTATAATTTTAATAAGTTTTTTTTTGGTTTTAACACTATTTTTTTTAATTTTACTTAAAATATATTATAAATTTTATTTTAAATTATTAATTCTTTATAAAAGTTTAATTAAAAATATTTTATTAAAATAAAATTTCTTATATTATATAATATATAAATTTTTATTTTAAATTTTATATATTTATATTAAAAGCATAAAAATTAATAATTTTTTTATTTATATTATATTTAAATTTAGATAATAATTTTACTTTTATATATTGTAAATACATAATATAAGCAAATTTATTTATAATTTAACAAATTTAAATTTTAATTTTACTAATTACTACTTATTTTTTTGATCTTTATTTTAAAATAAAATTTTAAATTTTAAAAAATTTGTAATTTAAGATTTTTTATTATAATGAAACATTTTGTATTTTTAAAAATACAAAAAATGTTAAAATTTATTTAATAAAATTGTTTAAATTAATTTTTTTAAAATATAATATTTTTAAATAAATTTTAAATTTAATTAAAAATACAATAAAACTTTTATTTTACAAATATTAATTAAATATTAATAAAAATTTAGATTTATATATTTTTAAATTTAATAAATAATTTTTTTAAAATATTAAAAGTATTTATTTAATTAAAGTATAAAAATTATTTTAAAATTATTAAATAAAAATTAAAAATTAACTAAAAATTATTATATAAAATTATATTTAAGTTTACTTATTAAATTGTTATTATTTTATTATATATTATGAATTAATATAAATAACTTTTATAACTATAAAAATAAAATATTATATTTATATTTATTTAATTTTTATTAATCTTTTTTTATAAATTGATAAATTTGATTTTAGTAATAAATTTATAATAATAAATAATTAGTTCAAATGTGAGAATTTCTAGAAAAATCAGTTTCTAAGAAAATTTTTGATTAAAATTAAGAGCTTAATACATTTTAATCTAATAATATCAAAAACTTAAAATGCAATAAAATTCTCAATTTTATTAAAAAATTTTCAGAATCTGATTTTTCTAGTAATCAATCCAAATGTTATTTAATCCTTATTTTTTTTGTGATTTAACAATTAATTTTTAAAATAATTAATAAATTTGTTTGTAAAATTATTAAAAAGATAATAAAAGATAAAGAATAACTAAATTATATTTATTTAATTATATTAATTTTATATATAATAAAATTATTATTTTTAATAGATTCACTTTTTAAATATATCTGAAATTTACTTATTAATTTTATATATATTAAAAATTATTTATAAAAATAATAAAATCCAAAATTAAAAATTTTTACTCTAAATATATTTTATATAAATATTAAAATTTAAATATTTATTCTTTTTATATTATTAAAAATCTTGTAAAAAATCTAAAATTATATGTATAATCATATTTATTTATAATCAAACTTTTAATCTTATAGTATTTTTTTTTTTCTTAAATAAAAAATTAAGTTTATTAAATAATATATATATTATAAACTATATATATAAAAAAATGTAAAAAATATGAATAATAATTAATATTATTAATTAGTTTTAAATAATATTATAATTAAAAAAAAATATTTAATTATAAAGTTATAACTTATTAAATTATAATTTAAGTTTATTATAAATAAATTAATTATTAAAATTTTTTATATACATGATTTACATTAATTTGATTATAAAAAAATTTCAAGTTTTTGGCCTAATTTAGGATTTGCAATCATTGTAATTCCGGCAGATACTAAATTTGATTAGAATTTACGAATCGTAATGTTGGCCAACCTTGCTTAATTCCGGCCAAAACAAAATTTCACAGAATTTACCATAAATTTAGGAACCCCCACGTGACCGGTGACATATAATGGCCCCACTTAAAATTCTCAGTTTCCGTGACACAGAGTGACAAATATGTGAGTGAAAAATTTTTATGGCGATAAGATTAAGATCTTATCGGAAAACATCGCTGATCAAAAAAAAATAAAATGTTTCTTAATAAATTTATAATAAAACCAATAAAACTTATTAAATTGATAAATCATTTACCTTTACGATCATATCATCAATATTATCTGACAACGAAACTTGTTAATAAAAATGTTTTAAATATTTTCAATCATTTAAATAAACGCGATTCTGTATTTAATTATGGTAAAAATGAATTTTCTCTCATTCAATCAAAAAATCTTTCTACTGGAAATGGGAAAAACGAGAGTAATATCACTAGTAATAATGATTTGAATAAAATATATAGTGATACTTTGTTATTACCAAAAACAAATTTTCCATTAAGAGCCGATGCTGTTAATAGAGAAATTTTATTTCGAGATAGGTGTACGAAAGATTTATATCAGTGGCAGGTATGTATTTAATCGTTGATATTTTTGGACACTTATTTTCAAATTATTTGAACCTCAAAATATTTTATAGTTAGAAAATAATCCGAAAGAATTATATATCTTACATGATGGACCACCGTACGCTAATGGAAATTTACATATTGGTAAAGATCATTTTAAATTTAATCATCAAAATAAATCCTTATTAATCATTTTATCTTATTTTAGGACATGCTTTAAATAAAATATTAAAAGACATTATAAATAGATACAAAGTATTAAATGGGCATAAAGTCAAGTAAGGTTCATATAATCATCTAAGAAAAATTCATCCCTTTTGCACATAATATGTATATTAATATTATTCAAGTTATATTCCAGGATGGGATTGTCATGGCTTGCCAATTGAATTAAAAGCCCTAACAGAACTAAAAGTAAGAAATCAAATTTATGATTTCCTTTTTTTAATAATTTAATAATCTAATATTTATATATTATATTAGAATGTAGATAATTATTCATTAACACCACTTCAAATTCGCAATGTAGCAAGACAATGTGCATTAAATGCATTAGAGAATCAAAAAAAAGAATTTATTAATTGGGGAATAATGGGAGATTGGGAAAATCCTTACAGAACTTTGGGTAAAACTAGATAGATATATTTATTTATTTAACTAATTTTCTACTTAGTGATTTATTGAAATTTTTATTCATTCAGATAAGGAATATGAAGTTAAACAATTACAAGTATTTCATGAGTTGTTGAAGAAAGGTAAGTATTATTTTTTTTGGAAGAAATTTATGTTAAAACGATAGAATTTACAAGGTAATTTTATTTCTTTTTTTAGGATATATTTATAGGCAAAATAAACCCGTATACTGGTCTCCCTCCTCAAGGTAAATTTCGAAAATATAAATTGAAGTTTCTCATTTCATTAAATATTTTATGTATTGTTTCTTTGTATAGAACAGCATTAGCTGAAGCAGAGTTGGAATATAAGGACGACCATCAAAGCAGATCTGTTTATGTAAAGTTTCCTATGATCAATTCAAGTAAATATGAACAATCTAAATTTAAAAATTCTTTCAACATTATGGCTTATATTTTAACGTTGTTATCACTAGCCCTGGATTTACCAATTGTGCCAAGAGATAATTTACATGTATTAATATGGACAACAACTCCATGGACTCTTCCTGCAAATCAGGTTTAAATCTGATTTATTGCCATTACTTTTTAATATCTCAATGAATACTAAAAAAAAATTAATTTATTTAGGCAGTTGCGATAAATCCAAATATGGAATATTCAATTGTCTGTCCAACGAATATTGACCACAATACATCAACTATACACTATTATATAGTCGCAGCTAAAAGAATAGATGCATTGCAAAAAGTTCTTGGCACAGAATTAAGTGTAAAATCTACATTCGAAGGTAAAATATTTAATCGGATTATTCTCGTAAATTCTCGAGATCAATAAATTGCAGCGAAGGATAATCAATGAAATATTTTATATTTTAGGTCGGAAACTCGTTGGGGCAACTTATATGCATCCAATAAATATGCAACAATGTAAGATCATTGAAGCTTCTCATGTAACTGAAGAATCCGGTACAGGTAAATATTTTTATTTGATTTCAAATCTAAAAAAATTTTCCACACTTATTAGCTCTTAATTTATAGGATTGGTTCATATAGCACCAGGTCATGGAATGGAAGATTATGAAACGTGTAAAAAACTATCTGTTCCAATGATTTGTCCAGTTGATGAATTTGGAAATTTTAATTCTGAAGTAGGTAATCCTACATTTGAGGGAAAATTTGTATTAACAAATGGGACATCAGCTGTAATAGAATATTTAAAAGAAAATAATAATTTAATTAAAGAAGTAAAATTTATACATAAATATCCTTATGATTGGAGAACAAAAAAGCCAATTATTTTAAGAGCTACTGCTCAATGGTTTGCTAACGTCGGAGCCATTAAACAAAAAGCCATTGAGTCACTTCAAGAGGTTAAAATGGTACCTGAAGCTGGTAAATATATTAAAATAAATGCATCGTACTTTATAAGGTGAATAAGGATAACTTGAGTTTTTTTTAATTATAGCACGATATCGATTGGAACAGTTTACTTTATCACGTAGTGAATGGTGTATTTCGCGTCAAAGATCCTGGGGAGTTCCTATACCTGTACTTTACGAAACAGAGACGGATATTCCTTTGTTGACAAATTCTTCTATAAAACACATAATCGAAATTGTTAAGGAACATGGATCAGATGGGTGGTGGGAAATTAATGAAAAAGACTTGCTTCCCCCCGAGTATAAGAACAATGGTAATTATGATCGTTTAAAAATTCGAAAAATTATTTTAATAGGAAAGAAATAGGTAAATTATAAATAATGACTTTTTAGGTAAAACGTATAGAAGAGGGAATGATACGATGGATGTATGGTTTGACAGCGGAGTCTCTTGGACTTATATCTTAAAAAAATTCAAAAGGTAAATATCCTAAATTATTATTTTGTGTTATTATTTACTAAGAAAATTTTACAATATTAGGGAAGATTCAAAGGCAATTTCAGATCTATATGTAGAAGGAAGCGATCAGCATCGCGGATGGTTTCAGTCATCTTTGCTAACTTCTAGTAATTATGATTTGTTATTACTAATAGTCTGTGCAGATCTGTGAATATTTGATTAAATAATATTTTTTTTAAAAAAAAAAATCAGTTGCTGTAAATAATAAAGCTCCTTACTCAGCTTTGATTACACATGGATTTGTTATGGATGAACAGGGTCGAAAAATGTCAAAATCAATAGGAAATGTGGTGGATCCCAATACTATCATTAAAGGAGGAAAGGTAGGAATTAAACTTTTGAAAAAAATTATACGATTTTTTTAATATAAGACCATCCGTCTTTAGAACATTAAAAAAGACCCTGCATACGGAGTAGATGTACTTAGATTATGGGTTGCGTCATCAGAGTACATTAAAGATGTCAACATAGGGAACACTGTCATGAAACAAGTTGGAGAAAACATTCGGAAATATCGTAATACAGCGAGATTTATGTTGGGCAACTTGTATAATTTTAGATATGATCAATTGGTTGATTATGAAGAACTTTATCCCGTGAGTAATTATCATAATTGTGATCATTTATAAATAGTCGATTAAAAGCCGATCTTTTTTTAAACGTATATTATATATATAGATTGATAAATATATGTTACATGAAATTTATCATTTTGGAAATAACGTGAAGACCTTTTATGACGATTATACCTTTAATAAAGGTATGTAGATTTATTTTATTATATCATTTTACAATTTATAATACTAAATGATATTTAAAATATGATTCATAAATACATTATAGTTATTCAAACGCTAAATTATTTCACAAATACGTTGTTATCGGCATTTTATTTTGATATCATCAAAGATAGATTATACGCTGATTATTTAACAAGTCAAAGCAGGAAAAATGTGTTAACCGTTCTTTACCATGTAAGGGTGGTTCTTTACTTGTAGTGATTTAAGTTTAAAGTAATTTTCTAATTGGAGTTTATCGAATAGATCTTGAATGTTTATGCCATAACATTATCACCGATAGTTCCACATCTTGCGGAAGAAATTTATGAGAATTATAAAACTGTAGGACCCAAAGAATATGATAGTATTTTCAGATTAGGATGGTATAATTTGGTATGCAAATGATTAAAATTAACATATTGCTTATTTGTTATTAAAATTTTGTGATTTAAATTAATTGTAGGAAGAAAAATGGAATAATCAACCTTTACGACAGGAATGGGATGTTTTAAAACATTTAAGGAATGACGTGAATCAATTATTAGAAGTCGCTAGAAAAGACAAGTAAGCCTTGATAAAAATTTTCTCATTACAATATATATTAAACATACAAGAAATCGATATAATTTAATATATAAATATATAGGATCATAAAAAGTTCATTGGAGGCTAATGTAGAATTGTACGTGACGACTACGGAATTATTCAATTTATTACACAGACATAGTAAGTAACAATATTTTATCATTTTCAATGCATTCAATTTATAAAATTTACTTTAATCTTAATTCATTTGAATCAAAAAAAAGAATTGGATTTAAAATCTATATTTATAACCTCCGATGCAACAATATCATCATTTGACAAAGATTCACGATTAACTGAACCTACTCCAAGTTATATTCATGAAACTGATTTTCCTGAAGGCATAAAAGGAAATTGTAAAATTGTAGTTAAAAAAGCTTCTTTATTCAAATGTCCTAGATGCTGGAATTATAATGCACAAATTGAAGGTGGATTGTGTAAAAGATGTGAAAATGTGTTGGCCATAAGTTAATGCTTGCACTTTCTAACAGATGCTTTTTTTTCAAATACGTATCGATATTTTAATAAATTAATATAAAAAGGATTGGTGCTAACTTGTCCATTGCAATCATGATAGCGCGAGGTATTTTTTTTTTTGAACAGGACAGACGTTTCTAGGTTCTTTGGACTTTGAAAAATCATTTATTGAAAATGTATCTTGGCAGCTGAATAAGACAAAGCGACGCTCTGAAGTATACAAAACCAAATTTTTTATTTGAATTCAATGACCCATCACCTAAAGAATATCACAGCCTTGACAAAAAAAATTCTTTTGATTTTATCTTGAACACGATATTTTTTTGCGCGAGGCGTTTAAGATAGACGTCATTTGTGGCAAAGTAAAATTGAATTTTTCCGTATAAATTCCATTACTAGTAAATGTTTAGCCGATCAGGTGTGAATAAAATTTCCCCCCACATATTTTTTATAGTTTTATCTTCTCTTTTCCCTTTTGATTTTACTTTTCTGTTTTGTATATAATAATTCTTCTTAAAAAAAAAAAAAAATGTCTACAAATTATAATTGTTCTGAATGTAAAAAATTAAAAATTAAAAGCGAAGATGATGATAAAATCATTACAAGCTTAAGAAAAAAAGTTATTGGTCTACAAGATGATTTATTATTTGCTCAAAAAGAAATAATTGAATTAAAACATGAATTAATTAGTTCTGGAAAGCTTAATTCTGTCACTCAATCAAATTATGATAATCATGAGAACCTAAGGGTGTACTTTTCAACCAAACAACAAAAGAATACAGGTATAAAAGATATATATATCCATCTATTTTTTTTTTTCTTTTTTAATATATAGTATTCTATATATTCTACAATATTTAGTAAATGGTGACCGATTAAAGTTATTTTTTGGAAATGTTGTAAAACCAATAACAAAAAATATTCTTATAAGTAATGTTGAAGATGCTTTTGGACGTGTAGTAGATTATTATAAAGACCCGAATTCGGTAAGTGCATGGATGATTTAGTTATTGATGTAAATCATTGATGACCAACTAAATTTCCAATTTTTTTTTGTCAAAATAATGTCATTAAGCCATTTGCTTTTGTTTATTTTGCCGATGAAAATGGCTATAATGCCGCGCTTAATCAAGGAAAGATTTTAATAGAAGGAATTAACGTTCGTATTGAAATGCCTTATAATCAAAGAAATTATTATCAATGACATGATTTAAAAGGTAACGATGATTTATCCGGATATATATATATGTTTAAAGGAATTAATAAAGAACTTGGAGGAATGAACAATGGATTTATAATTACCATAATCGAAATTATCAATTAATCTAATTCACTTTAATAAAAAAAAAAAAATGTTTGTATTTTTGTATAATAATTTAATACATAAATATGATCGCCAAAAGACATACAAAATGTAGCGTATCAACGTGAAGAATAAAAAAAGATTCTAATTCTATTTTCTTCGGAATCTAGCATTAGGCCCGTAAGATTTGAGTAATTTTATTATGGCAATGGTCTTGATTAAATTAACATATTTCGAGCCACTTACATGTGAACACGTCACGCGAATGCATGTATGTATGTAACACCAATTTAACACATCTTTTTGCATCGGGTATTTTTAATTTATAAAAAAATTTTCCGATAAGTAAAACGTTATCGTACATAATCTTAATACATTTCTTGGCAAAATGTCTTGGCCATTCATGCCTATAATTAGATTTAACAATGATTCTAAACCCCCTTACATTTTTACTTTTCAAATGAGAATCAAAAGAAAAAAATTTGATTTTTAAAATGATTTTCAAGAATTTTTATTAAAAATTGTGATTTTGAGTCGTTTAAAATAGAATTAAATGTAAAGCCGTTTTAATTTTAAGATCCGATTCGCGGATAAATCCATTTTCCGGATTAATGTTTTTCTTGGCATTTTACCTAAAAAGAACAAACTTTTGTTACATCATTTATTTTTAATAATGATCCAAACCATTTATACTTAGCATACAGACTGATGCAATTAATGTGCATACCAAATTAGAGGTTTGCCCTTTGTTCATCTCTGTCGAGAGAAATTTTACCAAATTAATCTATCAATTATGATAATGATCAATGATTTATTTTTATTTTTATATTGGAGAAAAGCTTATAAAAAGCTCAAATAATGTTCTAATCCCAACCACAAGTTTCATTCTTTTTTTTCATTCAATCAACATTTAACCTAAATAGTTTTATTAGATAAATCTATAGAAAGAGGAAAAAAAAAAAAATGAAACTTATCTTCGAAACTTCTCTTTACGTTCTTGCACTTTCACTTTTGACCGTTACAACTAATGCACAGTTAACTGGGCAATGGCCAGAAGTTGATAAACCTCCACCAGTTAATGATGCATGGACTTCTTTAGTTGATCTGTCAAAACTTCCCAATGCTCCGTTATCGAAAGGCGAAAGTGATTGTCCTAAAAATGATGAATTTTGTAAATGGAGTTGTACTCAATGCACTCGTAATGATTCCGACATAGTTTTCTGTCCCAATACAAATGGTTTGCACTTTTTCTTAAATATGATTGGCTCAAAATTCATCTTAATATTTTTTTCATCCGCTTTACAATTTTTTTTTTAATTTCATTTTGACTTTTTGTCAAATTTATTCTCTTTTTTTTTGGATTTTTTGTAATAGATTGGGGTCTAAGTTTCGATGATGGGCCAACGTAAGTTTATTAAGAGCATTTATATGATGATCTTTTTTACTAACTCTTTTTTATTTTATTATTATTTTTTTTTCCCAGAGCGTTTACGGATGCTTTATTAGATTATTTGGCATCAAAAGATGTTAAATTAACATTTTTCGTTATCGGTTCACGAGTAATAGAAAATCCACAAACTTTGCTAAAAGCATTCAATGCTGGTAAGTTTAATGAATTCATTAATTTACTTTTGTGTGCGTATTAATTATATATATATATATATATATATATATTATTAGGACATCAAATTGGAGTACACACTTGGTCTCATACACATCTTACCCAGCAATCCAATGAGGAAATCATTGCAGAAATCAAATGGACCGAAGAGGCGATAAAACAAGCCGTGGGTGTCACACCAAAATATATGCGACCACCTTACGGAGACGTTGATGATCGTGTCAGAGGAATCTTAACTCAACTCGGTTATAAAATTGTTATGTGGGATAGAGATACGCAAGATTACTTGACAGGAGAGGATAAGACATTTAAAGCAGAATGGATCGAAGGGAATTTTACTCAATGGGTTAAAGAACCTTCTACAACAGGACATATCTCATTAGAACATGATTTATATGAAGCGAGCGCTGCTAGAGCTACGTATGTTGTACCGATTGTACAAGGTGCGGGATTTAACGTTAAACCCGTAGCTGTTTGTATAAATGATCCACAACCCTACGTCGAAAATGTTAGTTTGAGCACAAATAGTACCTTGGCTAAAACCACAACGGTTGAAACTCCAACTCCAACTCCAGCGGCTTTATCCCCAACAACAGAGTCCCCAACAGAATCCCCAACAACAGAACCACCTACCGCAAAAAGCGTCGTTGATACAACTACTTCAAGTGCTTTATCATTAACGAATAATAATAATTTGCTGTTATTAATATTTATGATGGTAATAGGATCTTTTATAATTTAATTTAAGTTTAAAATTTTATAATACTAGAATATTGTTTTTTACGGACACTTATTACTTTGAAACAAACTTCGAAGATTCAAATAATTTAAATAAATTAAGAACTGAAAATTATAATTTCTGCTAGATCTCTATCAAAATAATTTTTCTTATATTAGTTAGTGATGTCTCATTCAATAACTAATACTTTGAATTTGCTAATGTAATAAATCAAGTAAGATACGAACTTCTTTGTTGTTATTATAAACGGGTTTGACTTCCCGTTTAAGTTTGAATGTGGCTAGTTAAAATATTGTAAATTTATATAATAAAAACGATCAGTGTGGAAATGTTAGATTAATATAAATAGACTTCGTTTCGTTCTCTTAAGGTCTATTACAGAACAACGACTGAGGGAGTAATGGTTGTATTCTTTGTATGTTTATTAATAAAACCTTGTTTTTTCTTTATTTAAATTTCGATCGATATTGTTATCGCCTAATTAATAAGCTTTACGGTTATATAGAAACCGGGTTCGACCTTCGGTATTTATTAAAACATGGAATAATAAAATTGTAAAGTTTAGGAAATAAATTAGGTTTAGAATATTGTATACATTCTTTGTGAGTCGTAACTGAAATTATTGGATAGAAGTTCAAATATCTATTATTGGATTATGCTATGAATTTATAGGTAAAGACAATTTCTAATGGAATTATTTTTGACAGACTTATTAATCAAAGGAAAGGGTTAGAACTTTTTCTGAAGTATTTAATATTTAAGAAAATGATTTAAGTTTTTCTAATAGCTGGTTGTAAAAATTTAAAAAACATAATAATTTTCATATATTTTGTATATACTAATATTAGCAATTCTTTAGAGAAAAAACAAAATTACCCCAACTATTAACTTATCAAATTTAAAAAATAAATGAAACAAAGTTTTACTACCAAATGGTTTTCTAAATCAAATATTATCAACAAGACTGATTCGTGAGTGAAAAAAAGATAAGATTAGAATTAAAGTTTTTTTCAATGCTAATGTAATAGAACTAGACATACTTATTTTAAGACCCGGATATAATTCAATTTTTAGGTATTTTATATAAGACCCGAGTATTTTATACCGAAATGAAAAATTTTATTATTTTTTATTGAATAAATGAATTACATTAAAATTTTCATTAATTTCATAATAATCATTTTTATTTTCACTATCATCATTCTCTAATTCATTTCTATTACCATCTGACTGAACTGAACTAAGTCAAATTAATAATATTCCTACTTACCATCCAAAATATCCCCATAATATTATCCCTCCACTTATAATATTCTACCATCTAAAATACCAGGTATCTAATGAAATACTATGGATATCATTTAATTTTCAAATCAGAAAAATTGTAAGATACCTGTAGCAGTATTGACAAATGACCTTTAAGTGACCTTAAAATAACCTAATCATGTGATGATTCTACTATGAAATCTATCACATGATCATATACAAAGTGACCTAGGTCACTTCAAAAAAAGGGAAATGACCTTGAAATTTGTCAACACTGACCTATAATATCTATGCAACGCTAAACAATATTGTAAAAATCAAAAAAAAAATTATAAATTAGCAAAATAGACAGGCATTTTAGATTTCAAAAATAAAAAAATCTATTTTTAATTGATAATACGCTTTTTCATATTATTTGTCATCTTAGATATTAAGTAAAATGAAGAATAGAGAAATATTTATATTAATATCTAGATTATAAAAATTATAAAAAAGTTATAATTTATTAAAATATAAATAAAATTAAATTAAACTTTATATCTGAAAGTTTTAACTCAAAAATTGTTTCAAATTTTTGATAATAAACTTTTATCATATGATAAAAAATCAATCAATAAAATACAAGAATTTGTGTAATTAAAGTTAAATTTAAAAGAATATTACATATAAGTTTTTTGGATTTTAGTCAGAGATTAGAGAATACTAAAAAAGAATTCTGTAAAGGAAAAATCTTTTGATAAATCTAAAGAAGATAATTTAAAAGCTAAGTATTATACTATTTTATTTATTATAATATTATTATTTTACTTTTTATTAATTATCCATTATCCTTTTAATATTTTCAGATAATCAGCAATATGATTTATATTTATCAACAATCTATTTAGCAATTTTATTCTTTAATCCTGTTTTATACATTCATATACTTTTACAATTTATGCGCAAACCTGTAAATAATTATTATAAAAATACTACTAAGTTTTGAGAATATTCTCTATTAGATTTGCATAATTATAACTATATAATCCTTTAATCTCTTATTTCATAAAACTTTATTACTACTCTATAAAGTTATATTCACAATAAAACTTTGGATAAAAATATGTTTTAATTCAACAATATTTTCTTCTAATGCTAACTATTGCTTAAGAAAATTAATTTATAAAAATATTATTCATTGTATATAGCAATTCAATTTTATTAAGTTATTATTAATATCTTTTTCAGAATATTTTTTTTGCATACTAAATTAATCTTTTTTTAAGCATATTTATTGATATACTATAAATTATACATTCTAAGTTATTTTTCTTCAGAACCTAAATTTATTTTATTATAATTAATATATTATTTGATATAGTATTATAATAAATTAACTGATTAAGACAAAAATGTTAATACATTCGAATATTAGCATTACTTTTTAAAAATTTGTTTCATTATTATTATAAAAAAATAATATTAAATAAACCTGTTTTATTATATTTTCTGAGATCTAATATCTATCTACTTATATTGAATAAAAAATATAAGCGTTCTTATCTATAATATATAGATTTTATAATTGCTTATCAAATAGTTGTAATAGATTTTTACATAAATAAAAAACTAAAAATTATTATAAAATATTCTCTTTCTTTCTAATTAAAATTTTCTATTATCTATCATTAGCATAAAAATGGTATTCATCATACATTATCTGAATAATTTCTTTATTTTTTAAATTAAATTCAAATTTATATAACATCTAACATATCATCATCAAATTTCTTCATATATTTCTTATATATAAATATACTTTTCAGCCAACTTTTCTATATTCTATCATATCTGATCTTTTATATTTATCATAATAAATAATCTTTTTTCTTTCATTATACCTATATCCTATAGATACATATAATTTTAATATATTTTTTCAGAAATAATATTTTTTTTAAATATTTTTTATTAATTTAAAAAATAATGTCTTTTTAATATATTTTTTCAGATTATAAGAAAAACATATTTTTAGTATCTACTATTATAATTATATTTGATATTCCTTCAATAAATTCTCATTATCTATTAAACTTTCAATTTTCATATACTTTTCTTAAAAATATATAAAAAATTTATTAATTATATATAATATTTTTCCTATTTTCTAATACATTAAGCTATATAGTCTTTTTTATTTTATATAATCATAATCTGAGCAATTTGACTACTGGTAGTTATTTTTTTCCTCTATCTAATAATTTTTATTGAAATCTATACAGTCAACTCTTGTTATAACGAACTCTATGTCCTAGACCTCAACTTCGCTATAAGGCTATAGTGAAGATTTTAAAAGATTTGATTGGCCAATTCGCTATAACAAGAGTATTTTTATTATATTTGTTTAAAAAATTCGTTATATCAAGAGTTCGCTATATCAAGAGTTGACTGTATATTTAAAATATTAATAGTCATAAGGCGTTACATTTAGATTATCCTATATAAATTAATCTTAGAATTGTAAAATATTATACAATACTAAAAAGGTAATTTTTGTTTTCATTACAATTTAAGTTTGAGTCTCAAATCAGTTACACAAGTTTTTTTTTGAATATCAGTATAATATTATATAATTTACAAAAAATTATATTTATAGTAAAACTATCTATCTATATATCTAAAAATATTGATGATCACAAGGTGTCATGTTTAAATTACTCTATATAAATTAATCATAAAATTGTGAAATATTATACAATACTAAAAGACAATTTTATTTTCCAGTAAAATTTGAATTCAAATCTCAAAATTAATTACATAAGTTTTCTTTTTCAAGATATCTGTATAATTATTACAGTAGCGGTCATAAGTATTTGACTACTTCTAACTCTGGCTACAAGTAAGTAAATTCAAAATTTTTTTTATTATTTAAAAAATACATGACCAACTAACTAAAATTAATACATTGTGTAATCACTATCTACTCTATAAGTGCAACTGTATGCCTTTTATGCTAGCTACTAAATTTGTAACAAATACAGGTGATAATCAGTTTCATTCTTTTATAAGTTCTCCCTTAACCTTTTAATTGATCGAATTTTTTTTTGTATATTAATTTTCATTAACCACCAAACGTTTTTTATAGGATTTTAGTCTGGAAACATTTGATGGCTAAGAAAGTATCTCAATGTCATTTTCTTCCTTTCATTTTTTTACGATTTTTGATTAATGCTTTAAATCATTATCTTCTTACAAGATCTAATTTATGTTACTTTCACCAAAAAGTTTAGAAATGAAAGTCAGAAGACCTTACTTATAAATAATATACATAAATTCAGCATCAAGGTTTCTCTGAAAGCAAAATAGCTTACCAAATCCAAAAGCAGAAAAACATTCCTAAACATGAACTTTTAGTATATGCTTAACAGAACGAAACACTTTTTTTCTATCAAGAAACTGCCAAACCTTTTTTTTATATATATAATTGAAATGTATTCTCATCTGTAAAAACAACTCAATTTCAATCAAAATTTCTTTTATTTTTTTGCCTATTACAACCTTTTTTTTCAATGGTCTTCTTTAAGTAAAGGTTTAGAAATTTCATTACTAAACTTTCTTTCAGACTTAAAAAAATATCGCCTTACTATTTCTATACTAAGCCTAACATCTCTTTCTTTCATTTTTTCTTGTATTTGAATGGCTATTATATTATGTTCTTTTTCTGTTATCTTTACAATCTTATCATCTTATTTCACAAA